AGGAGCCAGCGGGTGGTGTGGTGGTTAGGGCACTGGACTCCCACATGGCAAATCACAGTTCAAGTCCCGGACCAGGCAGCTTGTGGCTCATGCTGGGTACATGTGCATGTGTGCCCAGAGTCCAGAGAGGAGAATGGAGGAGAGGGGATTGTGGTGTGGCCACTGCCCCGGGGGGTGATTTCTCACTTTCTCTCTTTCTATCTTTCTGGTGGGCACATGCACCCTATGGCCAGAATCTCTCTCTAAAAAAAATAAAAGAACTGGGCTCCGAGATCAAACAAATATGGTGACCTTGGGCAAATGACGTCAGCATTCGGACCCTCAGTACCCTCTTCTGTTCGAGGGCAATGACAGTGATGACGTTCTGTGGATGCTGTGAGGGTGAACTGAAGTGATGTGTGTCAAGTGCTTGGTACAGTGACTGGCACTGTCAGCCACCCAGACGGTGAGAACGAGCTGGAGGGGACAGACGCTGCCGATATAACATCTTTTTAAAACATATTATTTCCTTTATTTTACTTATCATTATTTTTTAAAATTTAAATTATTTTATTTAACTTTATTTATTATTATTATTAGTTTTGATTTGATCAGAGAAAGAGAGACAGAGAAAGTGAGAAAGCAAGCTGCCAGGTTCAAGACTAGAACCGCTGTCAGCCATGTGGGAGTCCAGCATCTTTAACCACCATGCCACCTGCTGGCACTATCATTATTATTTTAAATTTAACCTGAGCGAGCAAATGAGTGAGAGAGAGAGAAAGCTGCCAGGTGGGACTTGAACCGTGGTCAGCCATGTGGGAGTCCAGGGCCTTTAACCACCACGCCACCTGCCAGCCCTGATATAGCATCTCCTAAACACCTCACGAACTGGGACCGCCTGGGCAAGACTGAGGGTGAGTTAGCAGGTTGGGGGATCGGGAAGGGAGGCAGCAGCTGGAGACCTGGCACAATGGTCCTTGAAGCTTTTACCCTTCGTCTCCCCACCCAGGCCCGCCAGCATGGCTCCTATTCGAATCCCCTTCACTGTGCTCTCTCCGCTGCCCTGCCTTTCCTGTGACAGTGTTCCCAGATGGCTGTATCCCCTTGTGCTCCCAGCCAGCTATGCCCTGAGTCTCCACTGGGGCTGTGACCAGGCTGTCCCACCCTGCCAGCTCTGGCTGCTTGGGGAACGTGGCCTCTGCTGGGTGGCTGTGGGGGACCCCACCGAAAGATCCCAGGGAGGACATTAGGAGGTGGAAGTGATCCTGTAGACAGGAGTCCAAAAGCTACGGGGGTGGGGGGTGGGTTGGGGGGAGGGCAGTTTAATTCAAGGCAGTGAGCTGCAGAGAGGGCAGAGAAGCTTTTGAGGGTGAAGAGAGAGTGCAAGAAAGGGAAGCCCTTGCAGTTCTCTCCATAGTCCTGCTACTGAAATGAGACACAGCTATTATTAATATGTACACACACCATAATTCAGAAGTTCCCAAACATTCAGCAGTCTAAGATGTTGTGGAGTTGGTATTGTTCATTCACTTATTCATTCATTCAACAATTATTTTTTCTTTTTACATTTTTGCTGTAGGGTGTGTGTGCTCACTGGAGACAGAGAGAGAAAATGAGAAAGCATTCCCCCCAGGGCGATGACCATGCTCAATCCCTTCTCCAAGGATTTTTTTGGGGTGTACACTGACTTTTTTTTTTTAAGTATTATTTATTTGGAACCAGCAGTTAGCGTAATGGCTATGTCACTGGACTCCCATGTAGTCAACCGTGGTTCGAGTCCTGGACCCGGTGGCTTAAACTCACACCTGGCACGTGTGCGTGCGTGCCCAAGATCCCGAGAGGAGAATGGAGGAGAAGGGATTGTGGCATGGCCATCCCCCTGGGGGGTGATTTCTCACTTTCTGTCTCTCTGTCTCTCTTTGTTTTTCTGGTGAGCACACGTGCCCTATAGCAAAAACCTCTCCAAAAGAAAAAAAAGTATTATTTATTCAACTTTATTATTAATATTCTTCAATTTGACCAGAGAGAGACAGAGAGAGTGAGAAAGCAAACCACCAAGTTCTGGACTCGAACTATGGACTACTATGTGAGAGTCCAGAGCCTTAACCACCATGCCACCTGCTGGCCCCACCCTATTATTATTATTATATTATTATTATTATTATTATTTTGAGAGGTTTTTGCGTGCGCTCGCCAGACAAACAGAGAGAGACATAGAGACAGAAAGCGAGAAATCAGCCCCCCGGAGGGGATTGTCACGCCACAATCCCTTCTCCTCCACTCTCCTCTTGGGATCTTGGGCACGCACGCACACATGCCCGGCGTGAGTTTTAAGCCACTGGGTCCGGGACGTGAACCACAGTTGACTACGTGGAAATCCAGTGACATAGCCATTACGCTAACTGCTGGTTTCCCACCCTATTATTTTTTAAACGCTGATCTTACCAGAGCCTATGCTAGCCACTAGATTACAATGATGAGCAAGCAAACACAGACACAGACCCAGCCCTCATGGAGCTTAGCATCTAGTAAGGGAGAGAGGATATCAAATCGGCAGGTTCACAAATGAAGAAATGACTTTAAATGTGGTTTGTTCATTCCATTGTTCAGCTATCTCAACAATATCTGGGAAAATAAAACTGAAGAGACCATCTCTAGGTGGTTGGCCAGGTAAAATCTCTTTGTAGACAAGTTGGTTAAGGTATGATCTAGAGAGGCCAGCTGGTGGCATGGTGGTTAAGGGTGCTGGACTCCCACATGGCCGACCGTAGTTCGAGTGCCAGACCTGATGGCTTGCTTTCTCACTTTCTCTCTCTCTCTTACTCTCTCTCTCTCTCGCACACTCTGTCTGGTCAAATTAAAATAAATAAATAAATAAAGTTAAATAAAAAGTATTCTTAAAAAAAGATAAGCTCTAGGACTAGCTGGTGGTATGGTGGTTAAGGCAGCTGAATCTCACATGGCTGAAAGGGCAGTTCAAGTTCCAGACCCTGCAGCTTGAGAAACACACCAAGCACATGTATGTGCATGCCCAAAATCCCAAGAGAAAAATGGAGAAGGGGCTGTTCATGGTTATCCTCCTGGGATGTGCTTTCTTACTCATCTCCCCCCACCCCATTCCAGTGAGCACCTTATAACAAATTAAAATAAATGGCTACCCAAAAATGATAAGATCTGAAAGCCCACAGAATTGCCCAGAGACAGATTGGAGAGAGAAAGCAGAAGAAACAGAGGCTGGGAGGACTATCTGCCCGCCCCCCTGGCATGTTTTTTAAGCTCAACCGCGGAGCTGGCCATGTGGGATCCAGCCACCTTAACCTCCATGCCAATTATTATTTTTTAAAAAAGAATTATTAATTTAATTTAATTTATTATTATTATAATTATATTTTTAAAATGTGACCAGAGCTCTCCCTGTTTCCTTCTGAAAGGAGGGCCGGGAATTATTACTCCCACTCACAAGTAGGAGAAGCGGCTTGTCCAAAGGTCTAAGGTGAGTTGAAGACAGAGCTGGGAATGGTCACAGGTTTCTTGTCTTCTCGCCGAAGGCATCTTCCTTTTCCACGAGGGAGTAGAGAAGATGAGGCTCAACTCAGCCTGGAGATGGGCTGCCCGGAGCTAGCATAGAGGCTTCTTTCTCTTTTTTTTTTTAAAAGAATTGTTTTATTTCATTTATTATCATCATTATTATTTGTTTAATTTGACCAAAGAGAGAAAGGGAAAGTAGAAAAGCAAGCCTGCAGGTCTGGGAGGTCTCGAACTGCAGTAGACCATGTGGGAGTCCAACGCCCTAACCTCCACATCACTTGCTGGCCCCAGCATGGAGGCCTTAAGAAGGGTGGGGGATTCCCGTTCTCTAATCGCTGTTCTCCTTGAATCCTGGCCATTCACGTTCATGCCCAGTGCTTCAGACTGGCCAGACTTGGGATTTGAACTGCAGTCACCGTATGGGATCTGGCTTTTCAAGAGCAGCACATTACTACTGTGCCATGGAGCCAGTCCCACCACGTTTTATTTTTCCAATTAAGCTATTTATTTACATATTTATTTATTCATTCATTCATTCAAGTTCTTGCCATAGGACATGGGAGGGGAAAGTGGGAAATTACCCCTCAGGGAGATGGCAATGTTGTAATCACTTCTCCATTTCTCCTCTCAGGATTTTGGGCATGCACGCACATGTGTGCATGGGTCCGGGACTTAACTACAATCAACCATGTGGGAGTCCAGTACCTTAACTACCATGTACCTGCTGCACCCCCCACCTCAATTAATCTAATTTTAAAAAATGAAGTTAATAATACTTACAAGGTTGACTCAAAGATGAAGTAAATTAGTGCACGTAAAGTGCGTAGCACGATGTCTCTAGCACAGGTATTTATTGAGTATGCTGTAGATTCAGTTGGTCCCAACTCTTTCCTTCCTCCACCACACCCACAGCCTTGCCATGGCCTTGGGATTGCTTTGGCCAAAGGTGGGAGGGCTTGCCTGGTCGGGCATGATCTTCCATTTCTGCCTTTTGCAGAACATACTTAGGCAGCTGCTAGTTCAACAAAGATAAGAGATAGGGAGCAGGCGTAAGTTGAACTCACAGGCTAGACTCAAGCCCAGCAGGGCCTAGTTCAGATCAACCAAAACCCAGTCAACCTACAAGAAACAAATACGGTTGTATGATCCGACCTTGGTGTGGTTTGTTATGCAGCTTTATTTTGGCAAAAGCTGACTAATACAGAGGACCTACCACAGGCCAGGCCCTATGTAAAGTACTGGAGAGACAGGGGTAAGCAAAACCAGAGTGGTGAGCTTCTACTCTGATGGTGAGAGGGCCATGGGAGCATTTAATGGCAGGGAAGGAGAGGGTGGATCTAGGCAGGGGGCTCAAAGAGGCTTCCCTGAGAAACTTACTCTTTTTTAAAAAAAATTATTTATTTAATTTTATTTATCGTTATTATTATTTTTATATTTGCTACAGGGCATGTGTGCTCACCAGAGAGTGGGAAAGCAAGAAAGCAAGCTGCCAGGTCCAGAATTCAAACCACAGTCAACCAGATGGGAGACCAGCACCTTCACCACCATGCCACCGAGACCTGAAGGATGAGCAGGAGTTAATTAGGTAAACTTTCAGACAGAGGAATAGAATGTGCAAAGGTCCTGAGGCTGGAAGGGAACAGGGTTCCTGCAGGGGACTGACAGTGCCTGGGTGAGAGGGACAAGAGTGAGATGAAGAGAGGAAAGTGAACGGAGGTGGTAGCGTGCAGAGCAGGCAAAGTTGTTTTTTGTTTGTTTGTTTGTTTGTTTTTTAATGGCCATTGGCTACTATAGCAGGGTGACAGGTCTCTGGAATGAGGTTGACATGTGCTGGAAATTATGACAGTTGAGGTGACCGCAGTGCCCATCCTGTATCTCTGCCACAGCTGTGATCTGTTTCCATGATCAGCCCCAAAAGCTCTGGGGCCCCTTTCCCAGGTTACCGGGGTCCTGGGAAACTTAGAGTCCTCATCCACAACATGTGGGCGTCCCAAACTCCTGTCCACTTTCGCCTACCTTGGGTCTCTCCAGGCTGGCCTGTGGTGTGGCTCTGGGCTCCAGAGCTGTGACCCCTCCCAGAAGGGTGAGAGGGCCAGGAGGCACAAAGGCCCTGGCATCTGCAAACCTCACATCAGAGCAAATCGATGCGAGATTAAAATTCATGATGGTTCCGGGGCACAACTGCAAACAATTTGTTCAGTAAACTTTGCTCTAATTGGCATTCGTAGAATTTCCTGTTAATCAGGCCCCTTGGGCTCTGTGGGGCTGGGATGCTCTGTCTCTCTGTGACAGGACAGGGAGCACGTGGGGTGGGTGTGAGAGGAAGGGGGAGGGCGGACGTTCAGGTGTGGGCCTCTGTGAGTTTGTTCCTGGGCTCTGTGTGAGGACACGGGTGCGGGCTGGGGTTCCAAGGCGACTTTGTCCAGGGTACTCTGTGCCGCTCTGTATGGATCTCTGTGTTGGAGGCGGGCAGATTTCCCGGGTCAGTCTGGGCCAGCTGATTGTGCGTCTGATCAGGTGTGTGCATGCCTATCAGCTGAAGAGCGTGTCCAGGTGACAAGGGTGGGCAGGTGTCAGAGGCTGTGCTGGTGCCTGCTGGGGCTACCCAGGGTGGCCCGTGGGTCTGTAAAGTGTGTGTGGAGTTTGAGTCTCCTTGCAGAGGTTGCTGGGCCTACTGTCCTTATAAGCTTCCTCTCTGGCTCCAAGGGATGCACAATGGTGACAATGGAGTTGGGTCCAGATAGTCTCCAGCCTACGCCTCCCTGGTTTATCTGTAATCATAGATAATGCTTTGCTGTCATCAAAGCAGGGCATCAACATTCCCCCCACCCTATGCCCACCACCCCTTTTCACTAGAGCCCTGTTATCCATCACCTACCTTTGCCCCAAACCCAAACGTTTGAGGGTCCTGCTGAACAATATAAATGACCTTAAACAGGATGAGAACTCACGTGACAAAACCAAAGTATGAATGCTGAATTAAATACCTACATAGCCATCTACCACCTGCAAAGCTGCTCGGCTCCTCTGGCTTTAAGCAGATCACAGAACGTGGGCTCCGGTGCGTTTTCTCATGTTGGCTGATAAACAAAGCGTAGCCTCCAGGAGTAAGGCGACCAAGCAGGTCTAAAGCCAGCCCTGGTGTCCCCAGCCTCTCCCCAACACCCCCCACCTCACCCCAGCCCCAAATCTTTTGTTCACTATCACAAGGAGGAGTCCTGTGTCCTTGTGCAGTGATGGGGTTCACCTTGTCACACTGTCAGACCCTGCCACACAGAGACGGGAAAGGTGTACCTCTGTGTGTGTGTGTGTGTGTGTGTGTCCATGTCTTTGGGCCCCTGACGACTGGGCTGCCTGTGTCCTGGAGTGGTCTTATACTCCAACACAGGATGTCGCAGCACTCGTGTGATCGTGTAGAAGGGCCTGTGTCTGACGCCCAGATGGTCGCGATGCTCTGCCTGTGTGTGTGTTCAAGGGGTGAAACGGGGGTGGGTGTGTGCATGTCCAAATCACTTGTCTGTTGTCAGGGCTCTGGGGGTTCTGGCCGAGGGGATGTGCCCGGCCCCCAGCCCCAGCATCCTCACAGTCATTATCTCTGCAGGATCAGCTCTCGCCCCAGGCCGCCCTCACTGTTTCCAGCAGCTGCTGCTTCCCCCAAATTAACCCCTCTGCTCCAGCTTCTCATTTTCCTGGTGGGGGGCCATGGGCTGGTTGGGGAGGGGTCTCCGAGGACAGTGCCCCCAGCAGGCAAGCTGGTCTTCCACAGCGTCCGCCCCTTGTTCACAGGGGTGCCTCTTCTTTCTCAGTCCTGTGGCTCTGGACTACAGGGGTTGTGTGCCGTACATGCCATTGTGAGTGCGCGTGCGTGAGGCCACGAGTGTGAACGGCTCAGGGGCACTGCGGTGGGCCCAGGCTGCAGGGAGGGGCGTGCCACTCTCTTCCTCCCAGCACAGGGGTCCTGAGCCTCTCGGGCAGCAGGGAAGAGCCAGAGAGCTTGAATTGAAAGCAGCAGGGACATGGCAATGCCAGCTAGGGAGGTTGTGGCCGGCCCTGGGCTTATCTAGGGGCGCCGGGAGATTCAGCCTATGTAGGAGGCATGCTCACCCCTTCTCTGCCCACAAGGCCAAATCCAGGTGAGGGGCACCTAGGATCTCAGCAGAAGTTGCTGAGGCGAGGAGAGGGGAGACTATGGAGAGAAGTGAGAAGGAAGGGCCTAGACCTGACCTACCGTCTGCCGCTTCTCTGAGGCTGGGCAGGAAGGAAGGGCTCCACAGAGCCAAGGCGAGACTCAGGGAAGGTGCAGACAAGGAGCCCAGGGCTGGCGAGGTGGCCGGGCTGCCATTGCCCAGCTGGGCACTCTGAGCTCTTTCAGCTGCACAGAAGGGCCCCGCGTGTGCCGTGACACACGTCTGCAGACTGCCAGGTGGGAACAGGATTTAGCCGTCAGCACCTTGGCTCCGACTCTGAGGCAATGTTCTACCCTGTGCTGTTGGGATCCAGCTCTGTGCGAGACCGAGACCAGCCTTGGCCAGGCAGGCAGCTGCGGGGGAGGGGAGGGACCAGCTTGAGGTGGGGGACACTCAGGGCTCTGTTCACCCAGAGGCAGCATTTCCCACCTAGGGGCTAGCGAAAGCTTCTCAGAGGAGGTGCCACCTTGGCCGGTGGCAATAACAATGCAAACTGTCGTGTGCAATAACAGGAACAAATGGCATTGGTACTGAGCGCGGGCCGTGTGTGCTATCTCATTTAACCTTTACAACATTTTTTTTTTCTTTTTTTGAGAGGTTTTTCTATAGGGCGCATGCGCTCACCAGAAAGACAGAGAGAAACAGGGAGAGAGAAAGTGAGAAATCACCCCCCAGGGGGATGGCCACACCATAATCCCTTCTCCTCCATTCTCTTCTCGGGATCTTGGGCACGCACGCACACACGCCTGGCATGAGTTTAAGCCACCGGGTCAGAACTTGAACCATGATCGACTACATGGGAGTCCAGTGACATAGCCGTTACGTTAATTACTGGTCCCTAACCTTTATAACCTTTTACAGATGAGGAAACCGAGGCTTAGAAAGGTGCCCTGGTGAGGCTAGCCAGGTGGCTTGGTGGTTAAGTGGCTGGATTCTAGGTAGCCAACTGCATGATTCAAGTCCCAGACCTGGTGGTTTGAGAAACACGCTGAGCCGTGTGTGTATGCATACGAAAATCCCAAGAGAATGGAGACGTGATTGCCTTGTGCCCCCATCCCCCACCCCAGGGGATGCTTTGTCACTTTCTCTCTCTCCCCCTGTCTCTGCTCAGCACGCACACCCTGTACCAAACTGCAAACAACAACAGAAAAAAACACAAAGAAGGACGAAGTGTTGGATAGCTGCAGTGATGCAAGGGCAATGCAATTCTCCAAGATGCTGAAGCCACGTGCGAAGGTCCTGGGCTCACGTCCTGTGCTCTCCCCGTTCGCGCTGGGCGCATATGTGGCTGGCTTAGTCTGGCTTGGATGATGGTGTGAACGTGGCGTGCCTGTCTCTCTCAGGGAAGAAAGTGATGTATTTTATTCAACAACACATAACTAATAAGTGATGGAACCAAGATTTCAGATCCCCCGAAACCAGACTACTGACCACATCGAGAGCAGCCTCCTGTGGTCCCGTGCCACCTTTGCTGACTTCGCAGGCGCAGTGGTGGCACAGCCTCTGGGCAACCCCTCTGGCTGTCGGAGGTTAGCCTGGCAGTGAGGACCAGGCCCCTGTGGGCGAGATGCAGAGAAGACTGGCAGGGGCAGCGGGGCCCTCAGCCTCAGTGTTTGCAGAGACTGACATGTACCTGGCCCTGTTTTCATTTGCCTTTTGGTTGAGGAGGGAAAAGGCCTACGTTTTTATGACACCGTCTTGTGATTCTATTTTCTGTTTAAATTCTGGGTGAGGGAAAAATAAGAGACATCAGAGAAACCTTCAGAATCTCATTTGGAGAGTCTGAGCTGCAGATAAATGAGCCTCCTGCAGAAATGCTACATCAAAGTGAATTTTCTCAGCTGTATTTTCTTTCTTTTAATAGGGCCATTTACTACATTAATATTCCAGGAAGTCATTTTAATTTTGTGTTTATCATCCATTGGGAAAGTTAAACAGGATCAATATGTAACCAGTGGTGAATTTGGGGATCTTGGGGGAGAAGGGGAGCGTTTGGAGGCTTTGGTGATTCAACATCTGGGAGTCCTTCAGAGGGGAGGGGAGGAGGCTGGGGATGGGAAGGAGGAGTGGGAGAGCATGGGGGAGGGGAGAGGCACACAGGGGAGCTGTAGGGTGGTAATTGTCTGAACACGGATTGGAGGAACAATTATTGAGCATCTACTAGTGCAAGGCGTTGCTCATGCCTTATACTTCTCAATCCTCACAACAACTCATGAAGTAGGTCTTCTTATTTCCGGCTTGATGTATGGGGAAACTGAGGCTCAGACAATCTGTCACAGGCCTAAGTTCCTTTCCTTTTTTTTTTTTTTCCTGTAGGGCATATGTACTTACCAGAGAGAGATAGAGCAAAAGGAAAAGTGAGAAGACCCCTTCCCCAAGGGGATAGCCATACTGCAAT